GATGATTGAAGATGATGGGGAAGCTAGTGAGGAGGGGGATTCTCTACATAGAAGACAACGACCTTCCTCAACTAAACAGACTGCTCAATCTGTTAGCTTAGTTACACCAACCGAGGACGATGCCTCGGCGCTCTGGGGGGAGGGGGTTGAAATGGTGAAAAATGCCAACTCCCATTTTCGAATCCCAATCGTTGTGCCCGGTACCGTGAGGATGAGTACCGGGCCCCTGCCGTCTACGGTTGATGAGAAATCAACAACCAGCACTACGCTTGCCACATCCACTTATCACCCTTTAACGTCATCATCTCCATATCCTTCTTCACCAACTCTTCCTCTACCTCTAGCAACTGCTACATCATCACCACCGGTTGCATCTGTCCGATAAGAGGATGTTCCTCTCCCTCAGTCCCAGTTCATGAGAACCTGGGGCAAAATTATGCTGTCTCCTCAGAAGATCCACAAAGGAGGAGGAGCATTACTCTCTCGGTCTCTACCGGATGCAATCTGTTGTCCCGGCTGGTGAAACTTGCTAACTATCTAAAGCCTTTGGATTCAGAGAATGATAGGGAAAAGATACAAGCTTTCTCGGGAGAGTGTTTGTTGAACAATGCTATGCACAACGCTGCAACGGTATGCTCTTCGCTTCCTTCATTATCTCTTTTATCTTTGATATAGTAGTATTTTGAGTTTGCCTTTTTTGTTTCGCATGCTAATTTTCTTGCTTCTGAGGGCCTTCAAAGATTAATTCTAGATAAGGAGGAACTTACCTCTGAGAGAGATCAACTTTTGGCCGAGCGGGATCAAACTGCTGCTCGCCTTTCAGAACTGGAAGCTAAAGTTGCTGAGGTTATTGTGTTGGAGGCTCCGTTGCAGCAAAGTGAGCAAGAATTAGAGACCCTTAGCCAAGAGATCGCCCCACTGGGGGTTCAATTTGAAGAGGCTAGGGACAAATGGGTTGAAGTCCATAGTGTCGTTCTTGCTGTATCCGATCGCGAGGCTGCCTCCGCTGAAAGATTAAATAATTTGGAGGCGGTCTAGAACTCCAAAACTAAAGAGTTTGCTGCTGCCAGGGTGAAATATGCCCAATTGGAGGAGAAATATAAGAAGACGATCGAGCATAATAGACTTTTCAGCTCTACTGTCCCTGATCTCGATGTTAGCCTCCATTCTGTTAGATCCGTAAAATCTTTCTGTCGAGGTTGACCAACTTTAAGAAGAACTCAAACGCCGAGCGGGTTCCCTCATTGTTGAAAAAACATATGCTATGTATCATAAATCGCATTTGTCGTGATGGCGCCTATATCAATACTAGGCAAGCCGACAACATCAATAACCCACATCTCTCTTTTAAATACTGAAAACATAATAATTAAGTTTAAGAGAAAATTTCCACAAATACTGAATATAAATACACTATCAAAATTCGGTGTCACTGAGTACATGAGCATCTAAATGATAGCAAAGTATGACTGCTAAAAACACTGTCTAAAAATTTAGAACAATACAAAACTGGAAGGGAAGAGAGTCAGGGTTTGCGGACGTGAAGCAGCTACCTCAATAACCTCCAACAAATAAAACTCCGAGAACTAGCAGTCGCCGTATCCGAAATAACCTGGATCTGCACACAAGGTGCATGGGTGTAGTATGAGTACAACCAACTCAGCAAGTAACGATACTAAATAAAGAACTGAAAGTAGTTACGAGCTTCACCTCTGAGTCCATTTAGAGTAATTTCCAGCATAATAAGGTAGGCATGCTTTCAAGTTCAACATTTAAGGCCAAAACAGTAATTTTTAACATAATAAGGTAGGCATGCTTTCAAGTTCAACATTTAAGGCCAAAACAGTAATTTTTAACATAATAAGATAGGCATGCTTTCAAGTTCAACATTTAAGGCCAAAACAGTAATTTTTAACATAATAAGGTAGGCATGCTTTCAAGTTCAACATTTAAGGCCAAAACAGTAATTTTTAACATAATAAGGTAGGCATGCTTTCAAGTTCAACATTTAAGGCCAAAACAGTAATTTTTAACATAATAAGGTAGGCATGCTTTCAAGTTCAACATTTAAGGCCAAAACAGTAATTTTTAACATAATAAGATAGGCATGCTTTCAAGTTCAACTGAAACATGAGATAATATCTTTCAAAAATTTCCAACACAGTGATATATGACAATTGTAGAACAGTAAGAATGAAATCAAATGCATCCTCTCAGGACCATAGTCACTCACCAGTTCCATTCACTTAGCACTCGCACGCAATACTTACACTCAGTAGGTACCTGCGCTCACTTGGGGTGTGTACAGACTCTGGAAGGGCTCCTTCAGCCCAAGCACTATAATCTGCACGGACAACTCACGTGCTGCAAGGACAACTCACGTGCTGCACGGAAAACTCATGTGCTAGTATAATATTTGGATCCGCACGGACAACTCACGTGCTGTACAGACAACTCATGTGTTATAGTATAATATTTGATTCCGCACGGACAACTCACGTGCTATAGTATAATATCTGGATCCGCACGGACAACTCACGTGCTATAGTATAATATCTGGATCCGCACGGATAACTCACGTACTGGACGGACAACTCACGTGCCATAGTATCAATATCTCACAATCAAGCCCTCGACGTCACTTAGTCATAAATCTCTCCAGTCTCTCGGGCTCTCAATAATCATGAAAATCAGCCCAAACAATAATGATATGTTGCATCAATAATGAATAATAGAGACTGATACAAAATAATAATTTAGCAGATAGTTCAACTGTGGGTCCCTTTAGTACCAACACATAATCTAAACATGAATTGTGGTTCGATTTCTCTACTACATAGAGAATGTACAGATAACAACAGATTATTCAACTACACAGTTCCATGGAATTTGACCAAGTCACAAATTCTACGGTGCATGCCCACACGCCCGTCACCTAGCATGTGCGTCACCTCAAAACCGATCACATAACACATGATCCGGGGTTTCATGCCCTTAGGACCAAATTTAGAACTCTTACTTACCTCAATCCGAGCAATTCTTTATTCCAATAAGCCTTTGCCTCGCAAATCGACCTCTGAACGCCTCGAATCTAGTCAAAATTAATTCAATTCAATCAATTCAAATTATAGGAATTAATTTCATATGAAAATACTAAATTTTCAACAAAATCCGAAATTGCACTCAAAAATCGCTCGTGGGGCCCACATCTCGGAACCGGACAAAAATTACGAACTATGAACGCCCATCCAACCACGAGTCCAACCATATAATTTTCACAAAATTACGACATCAACTCGATCCTCAAACCTTCAATTAAAGTCTTTGAAGATTTCTGTCATTTTCAACCCAATCTTTACCCATTTGAACTCAATAATCTTTGCACAAATCTTATGGGTACGTGTATGTATAATTAATACTCTTACACTCAAGAATCATACTCCCAATAACCCATCTTTACCCAAACTCGAAATTGAAGACTAGGGTTAGAAATTCTTACCTCTTTGAAGCCCTAGCAAGATCCTTGTGAAATCTTCAAACCTTGAACAAGAATTGATGTATAAATGGCTAGGTCTTCACTTTCTCTCTCTAAGATGCTCTCATCTTTCTCTCTCTAAAAAATTAGATGAAACCCTTCAAAATGACCCCTAATAGTGTTTTATAAGAATGGGGTCGGGTTTATAAAACCAAAAAAAATAAAGCTCCGAAAATCAGATGAAACCCTTCAAAATGACCGCATAATGGGTCGCAAAAAGGCCCTCCAGAACTGGGCATCATTGCTTCAGTCTGCGGTCATTATACAGCTCGCATACCTGTTCTGTGATCGCATAATGTACAGCAGAACTCGTCTGCGATCGCATAATGCGCCGCAAACCTGATCTCCAAACTTGGCCTAACCTGCTTCACTTTGCGGCCATTATGTGGTCCGTAAAGTGATTCTGCGATCGCATAGTGGGCTGCAGAAATATTTTTTTTCTTTACTCACCAGTGCATTGTTCAACCCAAAGCATCCGAGTCACGGCACGTAAGCCTAGTTCGGCATCACAAAACCTTAATTTCTTTAGCAAATATTTTTCGGGGTCGTTACACATAAGTCAACATCCGGTCAACCTCTTTAACTTAAGTTCTAAACCTTGGAACTAAATATTTCAAATTACTCCAAAACCTCACCGGACCCAAACCAATTACCTCGGTATGTCAAATAACAACCGTTAAGCACAATTTGAGCATTAAATGGGGAGATGGGGTTGTAATACTCGAAAAGACCGGCCGGGTCGTTATACTTCACTTGACTTGAGAGCAGGCATTGGGTCCTATAATTGCGATGCCGCATGCTCTCTCTTTTTGCTAATGGAGACCGAAATTGCATTAATATCCCTTGTTGTCGGTTGGTCACCTATTATTTATTTAATTCCCTCGGGAGTTGGGAATTTCAGCAACTGGTGATATGTCGATCGCACAGGTTTCATCTCGTGCAACCATGGTCTTCCCAGGATAATATTGTAGCCCATATCACCATCCACCACTTCAAAAAGGGTCGTCTTTATCACCCATTCAACATTCGTAGACAGCAGGATCTCTCCTCGGGTTGTCACGCTTGCTAGGTTAAACCCGGGGAGGAGTTTTGTGGCCGGAATGATGCTTCCGGTAATCTTGGCCTGCTCCAATACCCTATATTTTATAATATTGGCCGAGCTCCCTAGATCCACCAGAACACGTTTGATTTTAAAATCTAACACATTTAAAGAAATTACTAATGCGTCGTTGTGCGATAACAATAATCCATATGCATCTTCCTCCGTGAAAGTGATGTCGTCTTCAACGACTTCCTAGAGTCTCTTGCTGTGGATTACTGATACCTTCATATTTTTTGCTGTCGAGAAGGTAACCCCGTTAATCTTGTTCCCCCAAAAAATCATGTTGATCGTCATGCGCGGGTGATCTTCTCCTGCTTTTGAGGGCTCCGTGTTTTCATGATTGCTACCGTAATTGTTTTTAGCCTAGTCACTTAAGAATTCCCTGAGATGGCCATTTTTTAGCAGCGTCGCAACCTCTTCACACAGATGCCGGCAGTCCCCAATTCGGTGACTGTTCGTCCCATGGTATTCACACCACAAATTAGGATCCCTCTGGCTGGGATCGGATCTCATTGATTTCGATAATCGTGCTTCCTTAATATTCCTCATAGCCAATACTAACTCTACTATATTTACATTAAAGTTATATTCTGAAAGTCTATGGTAGGAAGAATCTCGAGAACCTGATGTTTCCTTGTCCTGTAATGACCTATTGCTCTGGCCACGATCAGTTCTACTATCGGTAACGAACCTATCTGCCGACCTGAAACCTCTATCGGGTCCTTAGACCCGTTCATAGGGCAAAAACCGGCTTCTCGAAGACCGTCGATCTGTGTCGAAATTGTCTTTTGATTTCTCTTTATTCTTCGCCCGACCCTTAACCGACACCGGGAAACCGAGCTGATCATCCTCAGTCCTTATCTTTGACTCGTACCGGTTGTGAACATCCGCCCAAGTTATCGCTTGGAATTTGAGCAAGCTTTCTTTCAACTTCCGGGAAGCATCGGAACTCCTCAGAATCAAACCTTTGGTGAATGCTTCAGCCTCCAATTTATCTGAAATGGCCGGTAGTAACATCCTTTCCTTCTGAAACCGGGTTACAAATTCCCGTAGCAACTTGGGCTTTCCTTGTGCAATCCTGAAAATATCGGCCTTTCGGGCATGTACCTTTCTGGCCCCAGCATGGGCCTTAATGAAATAATCTGCGAGCATCTCGAAGGAATCTATGGAAAGCTCGGGCAAAAGTGAATACCACGTCAAGGCTCTATTCGTAAGAGTCTCTCCGAATTTCTTCAGCAACACTGATTCAATCTCGTGGGGAGCTAAATCGTTCCCCTTCACCACCATTGTATATGTGGTGATATGTTCCTGAGGATCTGAAGTCCAATCATACTTCGGCACGTCCGGTATTTTAAATCGTTTCGGGATCAACTATGGTGTCGCGCTTGGTTTGTATGGCAATTGAGTATACTTCTTTGAGTCCGGTCCTTTCAGCATCGGTGGCACACCCGTGATTTGGGCCATGTGGGCATTCACTTCCCTCATAAACCGTATGAGTTTGTTTTTGAAGGGATCGCTCTCGTTGTTGTGACCGGATCCACTCCCCCCAACCCCATCGAAGCCAACCTCGCCCATCGGGGTATTATTGTCGACCTTCTGTGTTGTTTGATTTGCGGGAGCACCGGGAGGAACTGGACCTCGTCCATTCGCATTATTTCAGGCACCCGATAATGTCTGCTTCAGTTCTGTTATAACCTTATCCTGCCATGTGAGATGGCCTAGAATGGCCTCTTGTTGCTCTTGCAGGACCCTTACCCCTTCGACAACGTGCTCCTCTTCAGCATCATCAGGAGTCGCCTCTCGAACATGTCACGAGTATCGTCTTCCATGGACCAGTGTGGCCTCGTTCCCCTCACTGCGGGTATCGCTGATTGAATCCTCGTGCTGAGGATGATTTCCTTGGGCCTCAAGGTTGTGTGTGTTGTTAACACCATTATCTGCCATTTTCTATGATTTTTTGCTAAGAACAGATAATCAAACACGTTAGTAAAAGAGGCAAGGACCAACTTAATTACACAACTGTCTAAGCCCCACGGTGGGCGCCAAACTATTTTTCTGTAAAACGGTATAGTTGAATTTATACGTGGTTTATAGACAAGTGAATTAATTTGATCATGAAATAACAGATGAATTAGACGAAAATGTAATACTTAGCCTTGAGATGGAGATAAAATAGCAGAAATAGTAATTATGGGAGCAAGGTTTCCGGACACGACAACAATGATATCAATAAACAAGAAGATAGAATTATATTGAGTTTTGAATAGAGTGTAGCGTATGTTTTTCAGAAAATTTGTGTCTTTTATAACGATAATAGAGCTCACTATTTATAGCTACACCTAGGGAACAAGGTCCTAGGATCAAGCCCCTCTTTAATGTCAATTATGAGGGCCATTGAAGAATGTGTAACGGCAGGCAGTGAATGACATATTCTTTGCAACGGGCTGCGCACTTAATGCTGTAGAATATCCTTATTAAATGCTACCGGGTGACAGGCATTTACTTCATCTTTATGAGTATTATTTTCTCTGATAACAAACGGGATTGTTGTCTTCGGATTCAACTATCTTCTGTCTCTGGCTCCACATGTCACTTTCTCACGCGATCATTTATTATAAACATATTTTACCCTTTACACAAATATGGAGTTTAGTAATTATCTTTATGAGAAAAGTCAGTTCAATATCAAATGACGACTACTTTAATTACTTATTAGATTAGTAAACTTAAAATAAAATCGGGGAAGGACTGTTATAGTCAACCTCTGTCTATATTATCCATACATTATAGTCAAGCTTCTTCCTGTATTATGAGTTGTACATTTTTAAAGTTGGGGTATATTTCACGTGAAGCATTTTCCTCCTTATCATTTTCAATTATACTCAAATTATTTTCTCCATTCCCGATCTCAAACATTCACATAACTTTTCAAACATGCATTTAATCATTTAAAATCTTCCCGACATATTAAATGCATCATTTGCACAAGTTGATACATGAAAGTGAATAATTAAAATGCAGAGTCATAACAATAAGAAGCAGGTTTTTCATGTTAATTTCGTCAAAATCATGAGATTCCGTGGTAAGGTTAAAGCTACAGTCCACTCTAATTACAGTTTTTTCACAAAGAGTCGAGCAGTTTTTTTCTTTTACCAGTAGTACATTTTTCAAGTGTTTTCAAAAATCAAAAGGGAAATTATCTATACTATATCAAAAGCACGAAACCCCTTAGCAAAATATCGTTCACATTTTTTATCCTTTAAAAATAAATTTCGCAGTAGACAAAATAATCATTTAATTATTTTTCTAATATTAGGACTTTAAAATTAACTAAAATTTTGGCTATTAAAACTTTATTTGAAAACTTATAATATTTAATAATCTAAAATCGATAAGATTTTACTTATATAAGTTCTTTCCCAAATAAAAATATATATTTGCATATATAT